GGAGGGACCAGTCCTTGGAGAGGGAAATTATGTTTGGGAGGGTGGATAGATAGTTCAGGAGAGAAAGACCCTCTATGAGATGGATGGATTCAGTGATTGGGTTAATGGGAGTAGGTGTGTCAGAGACAATGAGGTTGGCACAGGATAGAGCAGGGTTTATGGTTCTTGTACATGGGGTCTCTTATGAGTCGCAAGTGACTCTGCGGCACATAACAACAAGGAAAAAAACACATCATGAGCTACAATGTTGTATTTTATTATTAATTAAGTTTGGGTTGAATATGTTGATCAAAATAAAAAAGACACTAGGTCTGTTCCTTGAAAGTTCAGCTAAGAGGAAGGGAAATGGTTTTCAATAAACAGTAGCTCTGATCCTGAGCAAGAGGCTTAATAACTTCTTTGAGCATGATGAGAAAAGTAGAGGGTCAATGAAAAGTGGGAGACCTTAAATTAGATAGATTGGCCACAGGGACTGCTACAGTGGGTTTGAGGTTGGCACAGGATAGGGCTAGGTTTCGATTTGTTCATAGGGTCCCTGAAAGTCATGCTTGATTCAGCGGCCCCTAAATACTTCTCTGTAGAAATAGGATTAATATTTTCTAACCTACAGGGTTATAGGAAGATTGGACGAAACATACTTATTTAAAGATTAGTATAATAAATCTCTCATTCATAGGGTTGCTATGAGTTGTACTTAATGTGACAGCTCCTAACAACAGAGTGTAGTGGCTACTCAGTATTTTCATGTTTGTCTCTGTAGTAGCATCTAGCACATTGCTGTTAGAGAAAGAATTTTGGACCTCAGTCCACCCTGGCTTGTTAGGTGATTCGCTAAAGAATTATTGAAGCACCATTAAGGAGACAGAATAAGATAAAATAAGCAATGAGGATAGAGGATGATTTATAGATGTTTGCAAGAAGGTAAATTTATTATAGCATAGATAACTTCCTAAGAAGGTGGGCAGGATATATGGTTTTCATCAAGGCAGCAAGTCTGTTAAAGCAGAAACACTCTCTGAAGGAAAATGGCCTTCTCCTTGAGAGTGAGGAAAACTCTTTTTAAGAGGTTGGATCCTCCCCCATCAATGGATGGTCTTCCAGCATGAGATAAAGTCTTAACATTGTCAAATTATGAGTTAGGGTCCATATGTGATGCTTCCAGTTTTGGGTCTTAAGTAATTTTCTCCCGTTAATGCAGTTTGATCCTTCTCTAAGGGGGCAAAAACAAATACTACTTTATTATAATGATATTAGAAGTAGATCTTTCGTTACTTACTTTAGGTCAGTCTTTCCTTTGCTTTGTGCATGTGTGAAATAGGGAAGACTTCCTTTTTCTAGTCTTTCTCCTCTTCCATGGGTCAATTAAGAGTTCCCATTGGGGCAATAGCCTTGGGGGGGTTTTCCCTATCTAATCTACTTGGCTGTATTGTACATAAGGTTTTCGAAGGCTTGTTATATTTTGAAAGTGCATGGCCAATCCTTCTTCCTAGTCTGTCTTAATTTGGATGCTTAGCTTTAGAGCAATATCTGAGAGACAAGCATTTTACCAAAAGGAGCAAATGAAAGACTTTCTTTTACCGAATAACCAATACATTCACTGTCCCCCCAACCCTGGTGCATGTGTCTTGCCCCTGCCCTTTGCCTGCTGCATTGGCATGTCTTGCATTTCCACCTACCCCATCCAGCAACTCCTTCCCCCACTCCTAGCCACTCTTTGATATGACGGCTTAAGCCACAAGTCACTTCTGTAATGTCTTAGACCTCACACTGCTGCTGGTGTTTCATGCTGATCTTTCTTGCATTTAGGAGCTTTTAAGGCCAAATCCCATGTACCAGTTTCAGGGAAGGAATTTTGTCTGAGGCAGTCCTGGAGAAAGGTTCTTAACCCCTGAGCTTCTGCTCCAGGACTATTGTTTGGTGATTTAGTGTCTCTGTTCTTCATTTTGTACCAGACTGCTGTCACAATACAATATTTTCCAAGATGAGGGCTTTGTTGAATTGAACTGGGAAAATCTGCTTTCAGGGACTTCTCAGAGTACTGAGAAGCAGTGATACCAGTCTAGAGACTACAATGTTCCTGATCCAGGCCATGGTCTTCACAATTACTGGCTATGCATCAGAGAGCTGGACAGTGACTTAGGATGACAGAAGAATTGATGCCTTTGAGTTGTGGTTCTGGAGAAGAGTCTTGAATATATCATAGACCACAAAAAAACCAAATAGGTCAGTCTTAGAGTGAAATCAAGTTTCTCCTTATATGCTAGGATTTTGAAGTTCCATCTCACATACTTTAGGCACATGGCCAGAAGGGACTGGTCCTTGGAAAAAGACATCATGCTCGGAAGGGTGGAAGAACAGCACAGGAGAGGAAGACCCCGGATGAGATGGATTAATATAGTAACTAGGACAGCGGAGGTAGGTGTATTGGAGTCAGTGAGACTGGTTTAGGACGAGGCAGGCCTCTGTGCTACTGTACAGAAGGTTGCTTTAAGTCGTAGGTGACTCGACAGCACAAGCACATAACAAAAGTACCTAGCAATAGGAAATGCTCCATAAATGTTGGCTAAAATGCATTGGTGAAGCCAGTAGACCAGAAGACACAGAAGGAATAAATTACTTTGTGGCATGAATAAGTGCTGCAATAGAAATCATCCACAGGATAGTGCGAGCTAAGAGAACACCCTCAGTCAACTACAGGACGTCACCAAGACCTGAGAATAGGAGGTGATGATAGAGTTGGGATTGGGGAAAAAGAACAGAATTTTACTAGGAATGCAGTCAAGGAGCTCTGATGGTCTGCTGTTGTTAAGTACAACTCATTGGGACCCTATGAATAACAGCTGTGACACCTTCCCTCTTCTGTGCCATCTTCACAGTCTCTGACACACTCAAGTCTATTGCAGTCACGGTATCAATCTGCCTGTTTGAGTGGTTTCCTCTCCTTCACTGTCCCTCCACCTTCAGAAGCATGATGTCCTTCTCCAAGGAATAACCTCTCTTAGCAACGTTCCCAAAGTATGTGAGACAAAGCTTAATTATCTTTGCCTCCAAGGAGCACTCTGGCTGCACTTTCTCCAAGACATATCTGTTCATTTGGCCGTCCATGGGATACTTGTTACTCTTCTCCAACACCACAGTTCAAAAACATCAATTCTTCTATCATTCTTATTCACTGTCCAACTCTCAGGTGGGTAGCAAGTGATTGGAAAGATCATGGCCTGAATCAAGCACACCTTAGTCCTCAAACTGACATCATTGCTCCTTAATACAGTTTGGAGAGATCCCTGACTACAGACTTTCCCAGCATAGTATGCCTCCTAATCTTCCAACTTCTGGTGCCAAGTGTACTGACTGTGGATCCAAGTAAGGTGGAGTCACTGACTGTCTCAGTCTTTTCTTGTTCTATCATGATGTTGCCTTTTGGTCCAGTGGCAAAGATTTTTGTTTTCTTGATGTTGAGATGCAATCTGTATTGAAGGCAGCAGTACACCTGGAAGATGGTGAGACTTTATCTCACATATCTTTGGCCTTTCATCAGGTAGGGCCAGTCCCTAGAAAAGGACATTGTTGTTTGTTGTTGTTATGTGGCGTCAAGTCGCCTGCGACTCATAGCGACCCTATGTACAACAGCCCTAAACTCTGCTCTGTCCTGTGCCAATCGCACTGTCTCTGACACTCCCATCCCAATTATCCCAGTCCCGAATCAATCCACCTCATAGAGGGTCTTCCCCTCCTGCGCTGTCCCTCCACTCTACCCAGCATGATGTCCCTCTCTAAAGACCTGTCTCTCCTTACAACATGTCCAAAGTATGTCAGACGAAGCCCCAGAATCCTTGCCTCCAAGGAGTAGTCTGGTTTAACCCTCTCTAGGATGAATCTGTTTGTTTTCTTGGCAGTCCATAGTACATTCAATACTCTTCTCCAGCACCACAGCTCAAAGGCGTCAGTTCTCCTTCTATCTTCCCTAGTCATTGTCCAACTCTCTGATGCATAACAAATGATTGCAAAAACCATGGCCTGTATCAGGCGGACCTTAGTCTGCAGAGAGACACCGTTGCTCGTGAGTACTTTAGAGAGGTCCCTAACAGCAGACTTTCCCATCGCAATACGTTTTTTGATTTCCTGGCTGCTGGTGCCAAGAGTGTTGACCGTGGAGCTGAGCAAACTGAAGCTGTTGAGATAGCAGGTATTAGGATCTGTAAATATTAATGACATTTCCCCAGGAAAGCAGACAGCATAGGGATGGTTAGGGAGGAGGCCCTATGTGGAGGGGCCTTCCAGCAAAGTAAGGTGGAGAAACCCAGAGAGAGGTTTCTGTGGATGGAGTGGCTGTTTTCTTGCCTCTGCTGCTGAGAAGGTGAGAGAGATGAGATTTCTTACTTGTACTATTAAGTGAATTTTCTGGAATATTGTAGTTTGATGAAAGAGAAAGGCGGAACAGAGCCCACTTTTACTATTAGTTGACATGTTAGTAGAAATCAGAATTTGGGATAGTAACTAGAGACTGTACTTCAAAGAACAGTAAGTGGCCAGACCTGTACCAGCCAGGAATGGCATTCCTCAGTAGACAACAGCTTCTAGAAGGGCCTTGAGGCATAGAAGGCCGCAGGCTAGGAATTTTAGGTCACTTAATATGGGATATAAATGTATAGTTTTTTTTATAGTTTCATTATGAAATTTTAATAGTTTTATTTATAATTTTTATTCCTTTTTCTTTTAAAACTATGATCAACGTATTGTTTCCTTGGGGGGACAAAGTTACATACGTGTTTATTTAATTGTTTGTATTTAACTGTGTCCCTTAGTTAACTTTTTTGTTGTGCTCTAAGGGCTTTTAAATCAAAGAGGTTTTGAGATGGCTGAGGCTCTGGAAATGGAAAAACAGACATCAGTATTCTTTTCAATATTATTATTATGTGCTCCTGATGCCTCTCTGCCAGTCCTACAAGTGTTTGATAGAAACTCCTTTTCTGTCATGTTCTTGTTTCAGGGTATAAAAGTGCTGTAGAAAATGGGCACTGAACGGACTTCTTGGACAAACCTGTCCACCATTCAGAAAATAGCACTGGGCCTCGGGATCCCAGCCAGCGCAGCAGTAGCCTATATCCTGTACCGCAGGTATAGAGAAAGCAGAGGTACGTGGCTCACATTTCTATGTGTGAAGATGTTCGACCTTGTTGAATTGCAATGAAAACTTTTTCCCTCACCACACTTGGTATTGTTTGTTGAGTTATGATTGCCTTTCAATGTTGTTATGTGCCATCAAGTGAGGAACCTGCAAATTAAACAATTTGGTTTCTTCTTATAAGAAACTCATTTTAAAATTCCATTGTTTTGTTCACTTTAGCAAAATCAATACTGCAGTAGGTTCTCTATATATGTGTTGTTATGTACTGTCCAGTTGGAATTGACCTGTAGCTGACCCCACCAGTGGGTTATCAGACACTGTAAATTGCAAGGGAGAAGATTGCCCATCTCTCTCCTATGGGGTAGCTGGTGGATTTGAACCTTGTGCCTTTGAGTTGGCAGTGCCACCAGAGCTTACATATATATCAATGACCTACATTATAAAGATGACCCAGTCTTGCTTGCTGAAAGTGAGGATGACTTAAAGCACTTGGTGTAGAAAATCAAAGAATAGTTTTCAATGTGAATTGCATCTCACGATCAAGAAAACAAAAATTCTCACCACTGGACTGATAAACAACAGCATAATGGGTGGAGAAAAGATTTAAACTGTCAACAATGTCGTCTTACTTGGATCCATAATCAGCACCATTGCAGTGGGAAAGTCTGCAGTCAGGGACCTCTTCAAATTGTTGAGGAGCAGTGATGTTTGAGGACTAAGGTGTACCTGATTCAGGCCATGGCCTTTTCAGTCACTTGCTGTGCCGCTGAGACTTGGACAGTGAATAAGGATGACAGAAGAATTGATGCCTTTGAGCCCTGGGATTGGAGGAGAGTGCCATGGACAGCCAAAAGAACAAACAGAATATGTCTTGGAGAAAGTACAGCCAGAGTCTCCTTGAAGATAAGGATGATGAAGCTTCATCTTGCATACTTGAGGCTATTCCTTAGAGATCATTATGCTTGGAAAGGTGAAGGACTAGTGAAAGAGAGGAAGACCTTCAACCAGATGAGTGGCAGTGACTGTAGCAATGGCTTCAAGTATGTCAGAGATTATGTGGTTGGCACAGGGTAGATAGGACAGGATATATTGTTCTTAGTGTTGCTATGGATCATACTCAACTTGATGGTACCTAACACACACATGCACGCACACACACACACATATATATATTTATATATGTTGTTGTAATTGCTGTTAGGTGGCACCCAATGTACAAAAACTCTGAATCCTGCCCTACCTTGAATCAATCTCACTGTCTCTAACACTCCTACTCCCATTACCCCAGTTACTGTGTCAATCCATCTCATTCAGGGTCTTCCTCTCCTGCACTGTGTCTCCATCCTTCAAAGCAGGATGACCTTCTCCAAGGACTAGTCCTTCCTGGCTACATGCCCAAAATACATGAGGCAGAGCTTCAAATCCTTGCCTTCAAGGAGCAGCCTGGTTTCACCCTCTCCAGGACAGACTTGTTTTGTTCTTCTGGTAGTCCAGGTATATTCAGTATTCTTTTCTAGCACCACAACTCAAGGACATCAGTTCTTCTTTCGTAATCCTTAGACACTGTCCAGCTTTCTGATACATAGCAAGGAATTGCAAAGACCATTGCCTGGATCAGGTGTACCTTACTCTCCAGACTGACACAGTTGCTTTTTAGAACTTTAGTCCTTGACAGATTTTCCTAATGCAGTTCATCTTTTGATTTCCTGACTGCTGGTGCCAAGAGTGTTTATTGTGGAACTTAGCAAGCTGAAATTGTTAACAACCTTAATCTTTTCTCCATCAGTCATGGTTTTGCCAGTTGGCCCATTCGTGAGAATCTTTGCCTTCTTGATGTTGAGCTTCAATCCATATTGAAGGCTGCAGTCCTTGATCTCTGCAGCAAACACTTCAGGTCCTCCTCTCTAACAGTGTGTGTCATCTGCAGAATCCCCCTCCAATCCTGATGCTACATTCCTCCTCGTAAAGCCTGGCCTCAATAATGATCTGTTCTGCATACACACTGAAAAGATATTGAGACAGGCTGCATCCGTGTCACAATCCTTTCTGATTTTTTTTAATTTTTTATATATATTTTTTAATTATTTTTGTGTGAGTGTACCGTCAAATCAGATCTGACTGGTACAGGAGGAGATTGTCCCTCCTTCCCCGGCAGAGCATCTGGTGGATTTGAACCGTGCGCCTCTGGGATTGTAGTTGCAGCTCCTTGCCACTAGGCCACCAGAGCTCCCAATCCTTTCTGATTTTGAACCATGCAGTTTTTCCTTGCTCTGTTCTCATGTGCTTCCTCGTCTGAGTGTAGGTTTCATCTTTCTCAAGATTAACCACAGTTTGTTAGGATTCACATAGTCAAATGCTTTTGCATAGTCATGAAACACAGATATTCTTCTAACACTCTCTGCTTTCAGTCAAGATCTATTGGACATTGGCATTGATATCCCTCGTGCCACAGCCTCTTCTAAGCCCAGCTTGTATTTCTAGTAGTTCTCTGTCAATGTACTATTTCAGTCGTTTTTGGATAATCTTCAACAAGATTTTACTTGCATGTGATTATTAATGATGTTCTAGAATTTCCACACTGTCAGATCACCTTCTTTTAGAATGGGAATAGGCTCTCTTCCAGTCTGTTGGCCAGGTAGTTGTCCTCCAGATTTCGAAGCACAACCTGGTGAGCACATCCAGGGAAGCATCTATTTGTCGAAATATGTCAGTTGGTATTCTGTCAGTTCCTGGGGTCTTCTTTTATGCCAGGTCTTTTTAGAGACACTTGAACTTCATCACTATTACTTTTTTATCAAATGTTATTTCATTAAATTCTTCTCTGTCAGCAAATTCTTTTTGGTAGAGTTACTCAGTATTCTCCTTCCATCTTCTTTTTATGCTTCCTTTTTATGCTGCCCTTAGCATCCTTAAGTGTTATAACTCAAGTCCTAAATTTGTATCCTCCCTTTATATATGGGACTCTGGTGGCCTAGAGGTAAGAAACTGTGCTGCAAGCCCAAAGACACAAGGTTTGAATACACTAGCTCTTCTGTAAGAGAAGGATGAGCTTTTACATGGGATTTGTTGCCTCTGAAAATCGACTGGAGAGTCAGCTGTGGGTTAGTTCCGACTTTACAGTACATAACAACATTGTGTGTGTCTGTCTGTCTCTTTTTACTGTGTTCTCAGTATTTGGTTGTTAGAGGAAGACAATTTCTCCATAAGCTAGACGGTGAAGTGATTTATAGACAGATCTGTCATAAGTTCTGAGTCTAATGAATTCCTCAGGCAGCTTTACACTTTCATTCTCTTCCAGGAGTTGTGTTTTGGGAGAAGCAGTTTGTCTAAGACCCAGTACCCTTCCTTTCTCATCTCACTCCACTTTAAAAGAAAACTTAACTGTGATCTGGATGAAGGTTTACAGAGCAAGTTGGTTTTCTGCTCAGTAATTCACTCACATTTTGTTTCATGCCATTAATTGCAGTTTCTCTCCTAGCCCCACCCTTCCTTTCTTCTGAACTTTGTCCTGGGGCAAATGCTTCCCTTCTGGTGTCCCATGGTTGATTGTTCCAAAGAGTGCAGAACTCTTTTTTTTTTTTCACCTTACAGGGATGAGTTCAGTTCTAGGCTTAAAGGGTGACTAAGGGCCCTTGTCTAGGAATTCCTCCAGATCCCATCAATGAGTTTGGTCTTTATTTTTTTTTATGATTTTGAGGGTTTTTTGCACATTTTCCTCGCACCCTGTCCAGGACCTTCTATCATGATCCCTTCCATCAGTAGTGTAGGCAGACCTGGTCTAGTTCTTATGGTCTCAGTCATGGAGGCCGAGGCTTAGGTTGCCCATTAGACCTCTGGACTCATTTTTGTCCATGTGTCTTTGATTTCCTTTACTCTTCTTGGCTCTAAGTAGGGAGAGGCCACTAGTTGTACCTTTTATCGCTGTTCACAAACTTTTAAGACTTCAGTCACTCCTTAACAATGTAAGATGTAGAACAGTGCCTCTGTGGACCATGTTGTGCCAGGTGGCCTTGAAACCCCTAGGCACAACCACTCTTTCCCTCAAGGTGTTTATTATGGTTAAGACATTTTCCTAACTTTGTTCCTTCCCTGTGCTCTACAATGTATTCATAGATGTGTATGTAGCATGTGTAAATGTATACATAAAATTATCTTCTGTCAGCACAATGTATATCCATGGGTACAGTCCCATTCTTCCCACAGCTGCCCAGCTTATATGTCTGTCTATGGATTCACTTGTAGAGATGGTGATGATGATTACTGTTACTGCAGAATTGTGTAGGAGATAGCATTTGCGTTTATTGCCTTTAACTCTGAAATTTCTCCCTATGTCTGTCTGCCTCTGCCTTGATCCTTTATCCAGCACACCCCTTTTTTGCAGGGCCTGAATGCTTTCCCATGTAGCCCTCTGAACAGTGTCCTAGACTTTGAGGACCTTCTGATTCCCACTGAGATGATGCTCCTCCTTGTCATTTGTTTCTGAGAGCCCAGATTTATCTCTTGGTTCAGTGTCTTTTGACAACCTGATTTGGGTGAGGGCTGGCAGTAGCTTTGAGTGTTCTCTGCATTCGTTCTGATACATCATGATCTGTGCAGAAGAGCGGCTGACATTCGTTGGGGAGGATGACATTGAGGTCGAGATGCGGGTTCCCCAGGAGTCTGTGAAGCTGATCATTGGCCGGCAAGGAGCCAATATTAAACAGGTATGTGGAAATGCAGTTGGTTTTCCCAGAGGTTGATTTTATTTATTGATTTCTTATCTTCCTTTCTTGGCCCTTATTCCACAGAATACACCCAAGTATGCATTTTAAAAAGAAGAAAAAAAGCATCAGAGGTTTTTTAGCGAACTGTACTTTTTCTCATCTAGAGATGAATACCTCTCCCTAAAGTATGAATGATTTACATTGAAACAGGATTTTTAATTTAATAATTGTCAGCTTGATACAGCTTGATCATTCTTTTCTGTTGTGTAATTCATGAACATTAAATGACATAAAATATTTTTCAATTTCTGCATGATTATTGTGGGTTTTTGTTGTGTTTTTTTTTAACCATCTTGCATTCCTTTACCATCTTTGATTACCTTTCTTGACGTTCAGTAGAATGTCAAGAAAGCAGAATATTGGAGCTCTGGTGCCAAGAAGCTGCACCACATTCCTAATGGCACGCAGTTCAAATCACACCAGCTGCTCCAGGGGAGAAGGGTGGGCAGCCTCCTCCTGTGTGATGACCAGCCTCTGAAAACCTGCAGGAGGGTTAGCTGTGGGTTGGTTCCAACTACAAGAATCCAAATAAAATTAGAAGAAGTTTTAAACATAAAGAATAACTTTTTAATTAGCTGCCATTTGAGATTACCTTTTACACTAAGCCCCTTCCGTAAGTTTTAACAAATGAAGGCTAATGCTGCTTTTAGCATCTTAATTTAGCTAATACCTATATCCAACTCCATCTACCTCCAGGGGTTGGTTTAGAGTGTCATTAGCTAGGCCCAGATGACTAATTCTGGAAAGTCTTTGGAATTTCCCTATGTCCTTTACTCTGCAGCTGCGGAAGCAGACAGGCGCTCGGATTGATGTGGACACAGAGGATATAGGCGATGAGCGGGTGCTGCTCATCAGTGGTTTTCCTGTTCAGGTTTGCAAAGCCAAAGCCGCGATCCATCAGATCCTGACCGAGAACTCCCCGGTGTCTGAGCAGCTCTCAGTTCCCCAGAGATCTGTGGGCAGAATCATAGGTACCATGGATGGCTTCCTCTCCTGATTCCTTTTTCCTCACCTGTCCTTTCTCAAGAGTATTTTCTTGCCTACTTCTCTCCACCTGGCTCAGAAAAGAAGACAGAGCTTTTAAGACCAGAGCTTTATTTTGCTTTTTAACAGACCCGTTTGTAAAATAGAACCCGTTATCTTGAGAGGATCTGAATCTTACAAATAGATGCAAAAGGGTTCAGATACATGTATTTACCTCATAATGGATTTTTTTAAGGGAAGCTAGGATGCTTATGCTGTAGCATCTTCATCTTTCCGGATAGTACGGTGCAGAGCAGCTTTTGTGCTTTCTCCCAGCACATTGTTTAGTATTTAGAGACAAAGAAGTATCCTGCTCTTGGTCCAGTGTCCCGACAGACCACGTAGCCTGTCTTCTTATGAGGAGATAACATAAAGCTGGATCTTGCTGAGGGTCAAAAAATAAAAATGAAGTGACATGAAGAATTTAACCTATGTAAATTAAAGTATGTAATTTAAACAAAATGGGAAAAAACCATAATCTAGAATTCGCCTTCCTCCAGAAAGGATTTCTGTAGCTCCTGATTTCCATTCAGCATCCAGCATTTTGTTCAACTTGCTTATGCAACCCGCTTCCCTCTTCCCAGTATACACAAACCAATAATTTTTTCCTAGTAGGTTAATAGAAAGAAAAGGACAAGTATTTGTGTTGTTCAACACAGGGAGAGGTGGCGAAACAATTCGTTCTATCTGTAAGGCCTCTGGAGCCAAAATTACCTGTGACAAAGACTCAGAGGGAACACTGCTGCTATCAAGACTTATAAAAATCTCGGGAACACAGAAAGAAGTGGAAACAGCCAAGGCAAGTAGCGTAGTTGATAGTATTGAATTTACCTAAGAGGACCCTTTATGCTGTCCTGGGCCTGGATATCTAACCATGTAGCTACCACTCCTTTTTATCTTCCATAGCATTTGATCTTGGAGAAAGTGTCAGAAGATGAAGAGCTTCGGAAGAGAATTACGCATTCTGCAGAAACCAGAGTCCCACGCAAGCAGCCGATCAGTGTAAGGAGAGAGGAAGTGGCAGAGCTAGGTGGAACCGGAGAGCCAGCTTTGTGGAAATACGCCATTTCCAACATGGAGCAGGCTCTACCACTGGCCATTCCGCCCCACAAAGGAGGCGGCGACATAGCTGCTGAAGGGCCACAGCAGGACGAAAGTTCCTGGGAGAAATCTAATACTGACAGCTTTGAGGAGGCATGTGGAGCCCAGGCCAGTCCAGAGATGTCTATGTTTGAAAGTACGTAAGAAAAGGGGAACCTGTAAGCCATCTGGATGGTGGTGATCCTGGTGTAAAATAAAAAGAACCTAAACCCTCAAGCACACTGCCTCATAGTGACCCTACAGGACAAAGTAGAACTGCTCCTGGTCGTGCTTCTAAGGCTTTGGTAATCTTTACCAAAGCAGATTTCCGCATTGTCTTCCTGTGGAGTGGTTGGTGGGTTTGAACCACTGACAGTTCAGTTAGCAACTTCACACTTACGCACTATGCCCCCAGGGCTCTGTATGGCCCTAAATGTAAAACAGACCAACCCATTGCCTTCAACTCATGGCCCCTCCCCATCAGCTTTCTGCTTCTAAATCTTTATGGGAGCAAACTGCTCCCTCAGAGCGGCTGGTAGATTTGGATTTTTTTTTTTTAACACCCAGCATGTAATGCTACACCAGGGCTCCTTTGTATTTATTTTTCTTCTTCTTTCTGTTGTGTTTTGGTGTTTGTTGTTTTTTTGTGGTTTTTCGTTTGGTTGTTGTGGTTTTTTTTACACTACACCCAGTGTGTGTCATCTACTTTTCTGGTCATATTTTACTTGTTGTTAGGTACACTTGACTTAGTACTTACAAACATAATATTTTTCTGAGTGCAAACATGCTAATGAAAATGGAGAATGAGATAGAAATATGCTGATGGTGAGGAATCTAGTCTGTGAATAATTGTATTTACATAGTATTTTTTTTCTCCATACATATTTAAAAACCCCTAATAATCATTGCTGTCAAGTTGGAATCAATGCGTAGCTGACCCTGTGGCCAGTTTCCAGGGCTGTAAATTTCAGAGAAGATTGCCCATCTTTCCTGCCATGCTGCCGGTGCATTTAAACCACCAGAGAGGTGCCAACTTGGGGTTGGTAGGATGCCTCCCCAGAGTGTCCTCCATACATAGATAGATGCAGCCTGATATTTCAACCTCTCACTGTTTTAAAAGTCTTCACTCTTAATGAAAAGGCTATGAGCTTCCTCTGTCTGCTTAGATTCTGGGATGATCAGGAAAGAGAAGACACCCCACCCCACCCCTAAGAGACTCACAGAGTTGCCAAGGATCAGTCAGCAAGTTATCAGTAGGGGGATGAGACCTGGAACAGGCCCGTGTCTGTCACTGTCCACATAAGTTACCTTTCCCATGTTCAGCTAGCCTCTGGGGAATTTACCAACTTAGATGGTGACTGACTTGAACACATGGCACATGATTAAGAATATAAAATGTCTTCCTCAGTTATTAGACAGAGAAGACACCTTTCTTAAGTCTTTTTTATACTGTTCATCCAGTTGTCTCTTCAGCTGTTTTTAAAATGTTATCAACCACTTGGTGTTTGTATGCCTGTCCTTCCCTTCTGCAGCCTCCTCATTCCAACCAAAAACTGTGCTGATATGTCCATCACCCTTCTCCCTGTGTTCAGTCCCCAGTCCTGACTTCAGTTTCCATGCTGATGAATACCTCGAAGTCTACGTCTCAGCCTCTGAACACCCTAATCACTTCTGGATCCAAATCCTTGGCTCCCGCAGCCTCCAGTTGGATAAGCTTGTCAGTGAGATGACCCAGCACTATGATAACAGCCTGGTGAGTTGCCATAGGGATAGGGATGGAATTTGATCAAAGGGGGCATGTTTGTTTATATTGTGTAATGTGGTCTCTTGCTTTCCAATGAGACACCTTCCTTGTGGTGCAGGATTTTTATACACTACTCACTTAAATTCTTACCACTCCTGATTTATTCCCCATCCTCATGTGTAGCCTGAAGACTTGACTGTGCAAGTAGGAGACATTGTGGCAGCACCTTTACCTTCCAATGGGTGTTGGTACCGAGCCCGAATCCTCGGTACTTTGGAGAATGGGAACCTGGACCTCTACTTTGTTGACTTTGGGGATAATGGAGATTGCCCACTGAGGGACCTCCGAGCTCTCAGGTCAGTATGGAGCAGGGCAGAGTCAGACAGGAGGCCCAGTTTTTTACTTGTCTGTGGCGGTTGGCTGGTGAGCTCCTGATACTCATCACCAAGGGCTTTGGAAGACAGCTTGTGATTATGTTCTCATATGAGGCTTACTGGTTCTGTTTAAGAGCAAGGCCCTTCTGGCTCTAGGTTTCTAATTCCACTGTCATCTTTCCCTTTAGGAGTGACTTCCTGAGCCTTCCATTTCAAGCAATAGAGTGCAGTCTGGCACAGATCGCCCCTGCAGGTAAATGGGTCACACAGCCTGGTGACCCTGCCTCAAGAATAGTTTTTATTCAGGACGCAGGCATCATCCCATTCCCAGGAATTTTGAGTTCTGGGGATTCAGGTGCCTGTTCTCTACAGACTCTAGGAAGCAGTGGCCAGAAACTTGCTGAGAAGTCAGAACCATCCCAACCTGAGAAGACACAGGTGTCTTCTAAAAAAGAGGGAGCCTGATCCAGTTTCCCTGCAGGGGATAACCCCCCACATGTCTCAGCCCTGGCTCTGCCTTAGGCCCTTCCTACAATCTCTTGCTAGGTGAACAGTGGGAGGTGGAGGCCTTGGATGAGTTTGACAGACTCACTCACTGTGCTGACTGGATACCCCTGGTGGCCAAAATCTCTAGCTACGTCCAGACTGGAGTCTCAACTTGGCCAAAGATCTACTTATACGATACTAACAATGGAAAGGTAAGATTGAGGTTCATTTCACTCAGCTCTTCAAGTTATTGTTCAAGTTTCTTTTTCCCAAGAAATTGCTATTACTCCTACCTTGTTCACTGCACCACCTATGGAATGTCTTTGAAATATCAATACTAGATCTTTCTGCCATTTCTTCAGGTTTGCTCTTCTTTGGCAAAAGAACTAATGTCTCTTTGGGCGGTGGGACTTTGTTTTTTTTTTCCCTCAGAAACTTGACATTGGATTAGAATTAGTTCGCAAAGGATATGCAATTGAGCTTCCTGAAGATGTGGAAGAAAACGGTGCTGTCCCTGATACATTGCAAGAAATGGTGAGTGAGCTCTTTCCTCCTTCAGGGAAAACCTGAGGCCTGAAGTTTTCTGGTCATGCCATTTCCCCCCCCCCCCCTTTTTTTTTTAATTTACAGAAAAGTTGGGTTTTCATTCATTCATTATTGCACATTTTCCTCCCTCCCCCCCAGTTCACTTTTTAAAAAAATAGTCATTATTTCACAATTTCCTCCTTCCTCTGCACCCCTCCCTCAGTAAACTTTGCTATGCACCTCTTATTCTGGACTGTTGTCATACAGATAATGCCTAATCATGTATTCCTTTTAAACAGTTCTTTTCTTCATCTGTCCAATGCAGAGATCATTATTTATCCCCCCTTTTCGCAGTTTTCCCCCAACCCCATGTCAGTCCTATTTTATAACAGTGGTGTTATGCAGTACTTGTCTTTGTGGGACTGAGATATTTCACTCATCATAATGTCCTCCAGGATCACCCATGTTAAATAATATTTTATGAGTTCCTTGTTTTTTAGTGCTGAGTAGTATTCCATTGTGTGAATATGCCATATTCTGTCTATTCGTTTGTTGATGGGCTGATCATGAAATTTCATAGAGAACTTTCCTAGGGCTTTCCAAATTGCTACAAAAATTGAATTGAGACATGTGCCCTTCACAGTAGCCACACTCAATTGCCTTACCTCATTCATATGGCAAAATGATAGGGTTGCCTCTCCTTCCCAACCAACAACCCTCTCCCCTGTGTTTCTATCTCCTCAGGCCACAGAAACAGATGTCTCTCTTGGCAGCATGGTCGCTGAGACTAAGAAGAGCCCTGGAGAGATAGCACATACCTTGTCATGCCTCAGCTTATCAGGTACGCACAGTATTTCCTGCCCTTGAACATCTTTGGAGGTTACCATCTCTCAGTCTTGCCCATCGTAGGCTCTTAGCAGGTCACTGAGCACCAAGGGGCCTCCTTTTCTCTGAGCCTCTCTGGCTGTGCCTGCTAGTCTAGGACAGTGTCTCCCTCTCCTCACTTCTGCTCACTAGAAGCTGCCTCTATGTCTGGCGATGATAACCTTGAAGATGACTACTTACTCTGAAGTCTGTGCCTCAGCTGGCTCGGCCATCTGCTTTGCTGTGTGAGTGGAGCTAACTTCTATCTGTGGCAACAGAAAAGTAATGAGGGTGACAATAGGGCCCCCCTCTGCCCCATGCCCCATCTTAATGCTGCTCCTTGCTATCCTGCAGTGTAGCTTGCCCTCAGACTGAGTTTGTTCACGCTTTTTGTGTCCTTCTTTGTGTCTTTGGCAGGTTTTGGCCCAGAAGAGAGGCGTCTATGATGAAGCCCATGCAGTCCCTCTTCTGTTACATACAGACTGGCTTACTGAAGACCAAATGTGTTTTCTGCTTCCCCTGGATTACGAGAAAGTCTGGGGTAGGGGGATACGAGTACAACCCTCTTCTCCCCTGCCCCCCATGCCCTTCCCATTGCTACATTGCTTCCAGCTGCTCAGCATCCAGCCCGGTCCCTCCTGCCAGTCATAATGCACATTACTGCTACGCTGTGTCCTTCTTGAGGCTGGGAAACAGCCACAGTTTTAGTCATTAAAAGTGATGACTCTGCAGGCATCTGACTCACCTCATCAGGTGACTCTGGTTAAAGAAAGTTTGAGAACTCCAAGACAGCAGTAAGTCTGAGGGCAAAAGCAGAAATCAGCATAATTATATTTTAAAAACCAGGGATTTGGGAAGAGAATAGTGCCTTTCAGCCTCCACTGCTGATATGCTACTGGAGAGAGGGTTTTTCAAACAGTTGTCCTGTTATTTCCCTGAAGACTTTGGTTAAAATACAAGTACAAAAGAAGGAAGCAAGCTCAGGAAATACTGTAAATTGCTAGGGTATAATATCTCTTACATATGTGTGCACCTTACTCCCCTCAGAGAAAACTAGAACTTATATGGCTCTGTTGCATCATTTGGAAGATTATTTCCTGAATAAAGTTCTCAAGAAAATGAGCTACAACTGAATGCTTCTTAGAGTGAAAGGTCTTTTGAGTTAAACAGCTTTTCTGAGGCCAAAAGCTGATAAAAATTACCAATACCTTGAAAAAGAGACCCACTTACAAAAGAAGTGTCCCCTTTTGCGTGCATACATTCATATTCTTTCCTCGCTGTTTCGGCAAAATTAACGATTCCCTGAGAACCAGAACCGGTTAAAGTGTATTACCTGCCATCAGGTCAACTGATTGATGGCAACCCTGCGAACAGGAGCTGACAGCCTCTCCCTGTCCTGTGTTCTCACAATCTCTGCCCTCCTCCTGCAGTCACTGAGCCATCTCTTTGAGGATCTTCTTCTTTCACTGATCCCCTGCTTTTCCAAGCATGATGTCTTTTTCTGAGTGTAAGAATTATTTAGAGGATAAGGTCTGGATTTAATGGAGGGGCAGAAGAGGAAGACTCTCGATGAGATGGATCAATTCTGTGACTGGAGTGGTGGGAATGAATGTGTTTGAGACAGCGAGGTTGGCACAGGATAGAACAGCGTTTAGGGCTCTTGTACATAGGGTCGCTATGAGTTGCAAATGACTTGATGGCACATAACAACAACAACAGAAATCTAGGTAAAGGAGTAGATAGGAACTCCACAATTACTATGACACTTCAGATAGCTCAGTACCTTACAGCATCTTCCCATTTCTGGTGATGGTGTGAGGATCCAGTGAGAAAGATGGTCCTTTAAGTGTTTTAAATGCATAGTAGAGTGGGTGGTTGAATAATGACAAATGAGATGGGCTTTTTCTATTTAAAGAACAAAGCAAGATAAACTGGAAAACTTAAAAGTTAGTGTATAAGAATGCCCTTTTTAAAAATGTATTTTTAAACCTAGGCATTAGTAAGGTCTGCCTTTATACACCATGGCAACTCTTTTTCCATAGTCAGTGGGCTTTATTTTCTCACAAAGCCTGGCACTTGGTGGTAGTCTGTATGGAGGAGGAGCTCTGAGAGTAGGATGTACAGTCCTGTGGGGCTCAGTTTGGAACTTCCATTCACTTGACATTTCAGGCCTTGGCTGTGGTGAAACTGAACTTACTGAAGCACACCCTCCCCTGGGACTGGTGGTACCCCATCACAAGGTTGTGAAATCCATTAATCCCTTGTCACCTCAATTCTTTGGGAAACCTTTAGTCTCAGATTCCCCCCACTACAAATTATTCCTAGGACTTGCTGCTCTGGAAATGAACAGTTCCACCTGCAGCTTATTACCATCCACTCCGTATGCCACGTCACTGTGATTAGAGTTTCCATCCCCTCCGTGCACTCTCAATCTTACAGCACAGCCCTGTTATCCTGGTCCTGGGACAGCCTTTGTTTGGGACATTCCAATTTTTGGAATCTCTCTTTTGGGCCAAAGCTGAAGGATCCAAGAAATCAGCCCTGGTTTCTTCTCCATCCAGAGAGAAAAAGTAGCACATTTCCAGATTGGACTCAATTTTAACGTGATGAAAATACTCCAACAATGCTTAGTCTTTTTGGATCTCTTAATACACAGCCCTTGTTCATGGCAGGTGGTCCTTAAGTGATTATTGAATAAAATAGGGAATGTTACTGGCACAGAAGTGAAGGAAAAAGGGACCAAAAAATCTTGGATCCCATCCCTCTAGTTCAGGGGATTGTTCAGTGCCTTCATTCCATTAATTCAGCTCTTTAATTCACTACAGCTTCCCCCAAACCCAAGAAACAACACTGAAGGATTGCACTACCCTTTATTCCTGGTTCCCATGTCAAGGCTCCCAGCCCCTCATAGAGTAGGAATAAGCATGTTCAGGGAGGCTCATTGGGTGGGTGGCCAAGGTCCCTTTCAAGGGGGTACACCATAAAGATGACATTGTCCCAGGGCGGGAGGGCAGGGTGATCTGGTCTGACCACCTCAAAGCCCATGTAGCTGAAGGCCCGCAGGAGGGCACCTGTGAAGAGAACAAATTACTGGATCATTCTTTGTGACCTGAGACATTCATTCCCCTAGAGACTGGTTTTATCTACTGGGGAACAGCTGTCGGGAAGCAGTGTGGTGCGGGCATTTGGAGAATGTGCTCTGAGGTCACGCAGCCTGATATTGTGCACATTAGCCTCAGAGTTCTCATAAAATAGGAATCTCTGAATTTCATGGAACTAAATATAAAATTAAGTGTTTGGCATGATGTAAGCCCTCAAATATTTATAGATAGTTGTTAACTATTATACCCAAAAATATTTCCTTAGGGGAATAGGTATTTTCTGTAATCTTCAGGCATTTGATTGAATATTTTTTTTCTCTATGTTGGATGCATTTGAGATCTTATATCAGTGGGCACTCTGGTGGTGTACACTGTAGAGCCGGGCTGCTAATCCAAAGGCCAGGCCTCTCTGGCAGTTCAAATCCACCAGGATCTCCGAGGAATCAAGATGGGCAACCTTCTCCCATGGGATTTACCGCTTCAGAAACCCAGTGGAGGTTCAGCTGTGAGTTGGGTTGGCTCCAGCTGGACAGCACTGAGAGAGAGCTGGCCCCTACCAGCCACACCCCTGGGGTGGATCTGCCATCGCACCAGTGCACCCTTTGGTATCAAATCCACTGCCAGCTACTAGGGTTTCCTGGCAGCCCAGTTTTAACTTGACTGAACAGAATTGTGAGGTGCCTTAATCCCCCTTATGACCTCTCTCTTGAATTCCTCAATGGAAGGTACCCTAGGGTGAGGAGAAGAGGGTCTCCCAAGAAAAAGGATCCTCCAGCTGCTCCAACATTAAAGGCAAGGATGGACAGTAGACTCCTCTCCCCACCTCGATCATTCCGATTGTTTGGGAAGTTCACAAACACTGAGTCCACATCTGTCTTCTCCTCCACGTACTCCAGTGTTGCCGTCAAACTAGGAGCCAGAGAGAAATAGATTTTTTAAATGTTTAGCCAACCCAGAATCCAGAAAATTGACTACTTGGAGCAGAAGAAGAAGTCTTACTAGTCAGTTTTTACTTTTCACCCAAATAAATTTGTAAAACTAGTTTCAATAGATTTTTTTTCCTCTCTGAAACCACAGGTATGCACACTACTCAAAAAGCAGCCAAGCTGGTTATGAAGGTGGATTGGTGATTGGTGGGAGCAGAGTGAAACTCAGGAAGACTACTCTATAGGCAAAACAAAACAGCTGGGAGGCACTTCCTGTTTTTACCTAGGTATAGAGTCCCGCTTGTATATGAATTGAGACATGAACTCCACATTCTAGGAGTTCATAGGAGGGAATCTGCCCTCCCTGGTCAGTATACCCCTCCCTGATTGTCAAATGTTGAAGAGAATCCCCTCCCCCTTCTCTTCCCACTTTCCCTGTCCAGGCTCAGTTACCTTTCCCTGTTCCCTTGATCCAAGGCCCGATATGGGATGTCCAGGAAGAGTCGATGGTCACAGAGAAGGCCGTGCCAATGGGCAGAGGTGGAGGGGGTGAGGCGGAAGTGGAAGTCCACCTGCACTGGGTCCTGGTGGAGCAGGGGGTCAGGAGCTAGCACTGTCAGGTTCCCAGCCTGGAAGAGGTCAGGAGTAAACATGAGAGCAATAACTGACTGTGCTCATCTGTTCCTCCCAACTGTGTCCTGAAGGTGAGGTGGAAGCTGATGGTGGGGAGTCCAGAAAAGTTAGAGGCTCAATAATATCCCTTAGTTCTGGGACGAAGCCATCCCTATTATGGAGTTACTAATCGCCAACTCAATCTGGGGTCGAAAGATGGAGCACGACTGCCTGCTAACCTCACCCCAGGGGTACATTAATGGCCCAGAAACTTAAAAGCGTTTAAATCAGCAATGTTTCCTCTTTAAACAAAGGCACACCATCTGTTTTTGCTGAGAATACTTGCCTGAGTGTGGGTTGGTCCCCCCCAATCATGTGCATTTTCTCTAAATTCACTAATGTCTCAGAATGTGGCAATCACAACCAGGCATAATTGTAGCGTAATGTGAAGACAAGCAGTTAGGAATTGAGCAGGAGTGGCATCCACCTCCTAAACAGCATGCCTCTGGAAACTGATGAACTTTGAGAAACGACAAATGATATTTACATAAAGGCTTCAAGTCTTTTGTTCGTGGAGTCGCTTTCAACAACAGTCCCAGTTTAACATCTAAACAACCATCCCAGAAGTAATACATTGCTTTACTTTGTTCCTACTTCGGTTACCATTCTGCTTTCGACCACTAGGTGCGTGGCTTTGGTAACTGGAAGGTCAGTAGTTCAAACCCACCCTAGCCATTCCTAGAGAGAAAGAGGATGGCTTGCTTCCATAAAGATCACAGGCTCGGAAGAGGTTTTGGTTTGTTATTTGACTTAATCTCTGGACTAGAAGCCTCCCTGTTTTAACAAGTAGCTTTTATCCATGGTCTCCATCTAACTCTATGCTTCATTTTCGACTAACTACTATTCCTCCTCCACAGGATGTCACCATGTAGTGCACCCTGTACAAGCTGGAACTTGAGTGTGATAAAAACTTGTCAGAAAAGACAAAGACTTTCTGTCAATAAAGAGCAACAGAAAAAGGTTAAGACAACCCTGATAAAGGCATCAAATTTGTAAGAACCAGAAAAACAAGACAGTCCCAACAACATCCAGCTCTCACAGACTTCGCTGTGCAGGCCGAGGCTCCCTTGTCCCAGCTCCACTTACCGAGTACACTTCTTTGAGCGGGTTGCTGTCACCCTGATCAGTGCTGCTGCCCACCTGGAGACCGACAGGGGACTCAGGAGCACTGAAGGCAGGAACGGGGCCGGAGTGTCAGGTCCTCCCGTTCCTTATCAGTGATGCTTGGTGGGGGAGAAAAGAGACCCACATTAATTTATTTCAGAGTCTAAGATGAGCAGTTTCAAAATTTCACAAGCCCAAACTCTGCCTTCAGCATCTTGAGTATACCTAGCCTGTTTCCATTTATCAAAGCCAAACAGAACAGGGGGGAAACATTTGAAATTATGGCAGTCTTCCACCTTTATTTTATCATCTCTTGCCACTTGGGCAGAAGTTCTTTCAAATTCTTACATTTTTCCTTGCAGTTTACATAAGTACAGAGACAACAAGTACCTTTTACAACAACAGGGCAGCATCTTCTCCTGGAGGATGACCCGATACTTGTAACAGTAGAGGTAATAGGCGTACGGGGACCAGATCGGATAGTGGTAGTTCCGTGTTTTTTCCTTCTTGGTATAAGAAAGGGAGTAAAGAGGGGCGTGACCTGTTGCAAGGCAGTTTTTCAATTCTATGCCTCCCTGCGACAAAGTGAGGTTCAGAGATGAGTGGCAGGGGTTCAAGAAACCTGGTGCAATTGTGACCCGGGGTTAGGGGCACTATGACATGGGCAAGAGGTCAGGACTTCATTCTGCCCCACCCTGCCCAGCCCTACTCCTGTCAGCACAGCTCATGTGCGTGCACTAATGGTTCAAACTCCTGTGCTGGCAACCAGCCCTGCCAGAGCATTTGGATCCACTTCACTCTGGTTCTGGGAACTCTCCCCCCAAGCTGTCCACTGAAAGATTGGTGTCTGATGATGCAGCAGGCTTCACAAAGCCCTGCTCCAACATCTAACTAGGGTTTCCAGGTCTATAGTTAAATACCTATGTGTATCATCACATCTCCCCTTAGCTCAGGGTGCTTGCTACAGGTGGCTGAACTCTTTCCATTCCGGCAAGAGGTAGACATTACAACGAAATGCCTTCAGGGGCCCAGACAGCTAATGAAAGTCAGGGCAGCTGCAGGGTGGGGCTCGGGCTGTAGCAAAGGGAAAATCGGAGCTCTAAAAGCAGACACAGTGTCATCCAGCTCTTGCCATGGAGGAATGCAAACTTGGTGGTATCAGATGGTATGATTTTTCAACAACTGGAGAGATATTTTTATGGTAAATCTATCCTTTAAAAATTATGTAGCTATTTGAATTACAGATGTACACACATGAGCTGATTCTTGTCGTTATGTGCTGTCAAGTCGCCTATGACTCATAGTGACCCTATGTACAACAGCTCTGAACCCTGTCAATCCTTTGCCAACCTTACTGTCTCCGACACATCCACCCCCATTACCCCAGTCACTGAGTCAGTCCATCTCATTCAGGGTCTTCCCCTCCTGCACTGTCCGTCCAACCTCCCAAGTATAATGTCCCTCTCCAAGGACTGGTCCCTCTTTACAACATGCCCAAAGTATGTCAGACGAAGCTTCAGAATCCTTACCTCCAAGAAGCAGCCTGGTTTCACCCTCTCTAGAACAAACCCATTTGTTTTCCTAGCAGTCCATGGTACCCTCAATACTCTTCTCCAGAACCACAGCTCTAAGGCATCAATTCTCATTCTATCATCCCTAGTCATTGTCCAGCTCTCTGAAGCATAGCAAGTAATTGCAAAGATCATGGCCTGGATCAGGCACATCTTAGTCTCCAGACTGACATCGTTAAGCTACTTAGTCAAAATAAAAGCTATTGATTAAAAAAAAAATCAGCATTGGGAGAAAGATTGGTTCTGGAACCTACCTGTTTGAGACATCTGCATATTCATCCATTCAGCACTTTTGTTCTGTCAACCCAAAGGCAGGAGGCTTGAGTTCACCGGCTGCTCCAAGGGGGAAAGATGAGCAATCTTGTCCTGTGCTGTTTACAGCCTCTGCGAAGCCACTGGAAGGCCACCTGTGAGTCAGCTCTGACTTGATGTCAATGAGAGTTAGGATAAGCCGGGAAGGGAGCTCTGGTGATGAAGTTAAAGGGAGTTGCACTGTTGAGCCTCTCTGGCAGCTCAAATCCATCACGACTCCATGAGAGGAAAACAGGCATTTCTCCTTCATGCAATGTACAGCCCCAGAAACTCAATGAAGGGTCCACTCTGAGTCAACTCCAACTTGATGGCATGAGTTTATTTTTGAAATAAACCAGTAAGCACTTCAGGTCCTCTTCAGTATCAGCAAGCAAGGTTGTATCAGCACTGGTCTGTCAGTTTGCTGTACTGAGATAACTTGGGGTTGCTGTGATACTGAACACTGTGCCACTGGTGTGTCAAGTGCCATAATGGTTACCCACAGTGGACAGGGTTTGGTAGAGCTCCCAGATTAAGAAAGGTTTGGAAACAGGATTGGCACCCACTTTTTTTTTTATTATTTTAGTGTGTGTGTGTGTGTGTGTGTGT